TTTATGATCCTGATGTTAATAAAATATAAGACTTAGTGGAGGCAGGTCTCGCTACGTAAGCTAAGCTAGCCTGGACCCCAGGATCTGAAGGTGCAGGCTATGCACCAGGCTCTGATTCCAGTTTTCAAATCATCTGCGCTCTTTCTTCCTCCCGACTGCCTTTCTTGTCACCATAAGCATATAAGCTAAAAAAGCACAAGCTGAGCCCAGCATGGTGGCGCACACCTTTAATCCCAGCACTCAGGAGGCAGAGGCAGGTGGACCTCTGTGAGTTCAAGGCCAGCCTGGTCTAAAGTGAGTTCCAGGCCACAGCTGGGGCTATAGGGAGACCCTGTCTCAAAAAGATAAAAAAGAAGTACAAGCTGCCCACGTTCCAGTTGCCACTGGCTAGCTAGATCAAACAAGGGGAACTGTTTAATCTGACCCCAAACAGCAGATGACTCAGTGACCTAAGTTTATGTAGAAATGCTAGCCAATTTTCACATGTGTGAGGTGCTGAGACCACAGCTGCACTTTCTTCTAAACTTCCCTAAGAGCAAAACAAACAATACTTGTACCTCTATCTCAAATGATAGTTCAATGAAATTTGGTTGCTGGGAAGATGATTACAGGTCACACACCTGATGTGCAAGTGTGACAAACTGACTTTGAATGCCCAGAAGCCAAGTAAAAGCAGACGTCTGTGAGCCTGGCACTGCACAGGGAGAGACAGACATGGGAAACTGGCCTGGGTGCACAGGGGATAAACAGCACTATCGCAAAGAGGGGACTGGTACTCAAGGTGTCCTCTGACCCCCACGTGTGGTGTTGTCCACAAATGGGAGCTCGCAAACGAACACAACCACGTACAGTTTCACAACCTGGCTGTCCAGAGATCAGCAATGACTTGCTAACACAGAGGCCTGCATCAACAAAACTCTCACCACCTCACACACAACACTCAGCAGTGACACTGTGAAAGTATTAGTCATATGCACTGCCATGTAAGTTTTCTCCCAGAAATATTTCAATAAAAATTAGCCTCTTCCAAGTAACACCAACTGTATGCTCACCAGCAACAGGGAATTCTAACAAAATAGGAAATTTACCATACGGCTGATTTAAAGGAAAAGAAAAAAGAAAATGCAG